TCCCACCACCTCGAGTGAGGTGGAGCATTTGCATGATACTGAGCATGATTTGCATGATATGGGTGCTGAATCTGAGTTTCATGATAACAATAATTTGCATGAGTTGCATGTGGAGCCTAGTAGTGATAATTTGCATGATTATCAACTTGCTAGAGATAGGAGTAGAAGGGCTATCAGGAGAACTGCTGATAGTATGCCTGATTATGCTTTCATTGTGCATGATACTTCTATGTTCGCATTTTCTGTGTTTGAATCCCTAGAGCTGAATGAACCCAAGACCTACCGTGAAGCCTTAGGTTCCAAAGAGTCTCAGAGATGGATTAGTGCCATGAAAAGTGAGATGGACTCTTTGAGAGTGAACCAGACTTGGACCCTTGTACCTAGACCTCCCAACTGTTCGGTAGTTGAGTGTAAGTGGTTGTTTAAGGTTAAGGAAGAACCTAGTAATGTTAGGTTTAAGGCTAGGTTGGTTGCGAAGGGGTTTACTCAAAAAGAGGGGGTAGATTATGCAGAAATCTTTGCTCCTGTTGTTAAATTCACCACTATTCGTATGATGCTTGCTTTAGTTGCTCACCATGACTGGGAAATGAAACAGATGGATGTAACTACTGCTTTTTTGCATGGTGAATTGGATAAAACAATTTATATGACCCAGCCTGAGGGCTTTGTGGATCCCAAGAGAAGTGAGCATGTCTGTTTGCTTAGGAAGGCATTGTATGGCCTGAAGCAATCCCCTAGGCAGTGGAACATCAAATTTGATAAATGCATGATATCTTTGAAGTTCCAGAAATCTGTTTGTGATCATTGCCTGTATTTCAAAAATACTTCTTCTGTGCCTGTATTTTTGTTACTCTATGTGGATGACATGCTGATAATTAGTCCTTCTCTGAATGCTATTAAAGATGTGCAGAAATGTCTTTGTGCGAATTTTGCCATGAAAGACCTAGGTGATGCCAAGAGGATCCTAGGCATAAACATTGTTAGGGATAGGAGTAAGCGTACTCTTACTTTGAATCAGATTTCTTACATAGAAAAAGTTTTGAGTAAATTTAATATGTTGTCTGCTTCTCCTGTTAATGTCCCTATGGCATCTCACTTTGTGTTAAGTAAGGACCAGTCTCCCAAGACTGCTCCTGAAATTGAGAAAATGAAATCTGTGCCTTATTCCAGTGCAATAGGGTCGGTGATGTATCTTATGGTTAGCACTAGACCTGATATTGCATATGCGGTTAGTTGCTTGAGTAGATATATGTCCAACCCTGGTTTGCCCCATTGGAATGCTCTTAAGTGGTTGCTTAGATATCTGATTTCTACTGTGAAGCATGGATTAATTTTCTCTAAATGTGCTAGTGGTATTGAATTGATTGGTTATGTTGATTCTAACTATGCAAATGATAGAGATAACAGGAAGTCGACCACTTCTTATGTTTTTACTTTGTGTGGCTGTTGCATTAGTTGGAAGTCTCAACTACAGCCTATTGTGGCCCTTTCTACCACTGAGTCCGAGTATGTTGCAGCCACAGAAGCGTTTAAGGAAGCCATCTGGCTCAAACGCCTTGTCTCCGAAATTGGGTTTCTCAAAAAGGGAGTTACCATTTTCTCGGATAGCCAATCGGCTATCCAACTTTGCAAAAATCCTGTATTTCATGATAGAACTAAGCATATTGATGTTAGGTTCCATTTCATACGTGATATTGTTGATGCAGGTGGAGTCAAGCTGTGCAAGATCCCGTCCGAGTTTAACCCCGCGGATATGGGTACCAAGTGTCTTTCCGCTGAGAAGCACTTGTCCTGTAAACGCGTGTTAAATTTTGACTGTGGATAACTGTGGGTTGCCTAATAAAGTGTTTGCCCGTTGTGTCTGTTGATATTCCGGGTGACCCGGCGATGATGAGTCTTGTCACAACTTTGTTTTGTTACTCTACACCACCTAGGACCAATAAGGTGGAGAATGTTGGAGGTATTGGTCCTGCCAAGGCCTCCCTTCCACTTTATTTGTTGAGGCTTGCACACTCTATTTCACTCTCTCTGGGATATCTTTACTGTGGTATATATCCTGATCAAATATATATCTATTTTGAGGGTTGACTTACCCACTTGGCTGGCCCCTCCCTTGTTGTTGGCCGCTGCATTATATGTCCTTGCTTCTCGTGAGTGTCTTTTGTCTTAGCACTCACCCGTGACTTCCAGTTGGCCTTTGCCTATTATTTAGGAGCCTTGGCTCCCTCTTCTGTGAGTAGCCTGCGTGAGAAAATAATCCAGAGAGAGCAGTGCTCCCTTCTTCTTCCTTTCCTTTGTGTGAGAGTGTAGAGAGGTCCTTAGTGGAGAGTAGAGAGTTGTGTGCTATAGCCTCCTCTTAGTGTGGTGTGTGAGAGTGTGTTGAAAGACCTGAGCCGGAGACGGAAATAAACGGTCCTTACAATAATATTTTAATTATTATATAGATTATTAGAAAAGTGGAGTCAAAATAAAGTGTGTGAATCGTGTAAAAATCTTTTTTCAAATTAAAGAACAGAGAAAGAATTTACCTTACATTTGCAAAGATACGTATAAAAACAATTATAATATCTTTTTTCTTAGGGATAAGGGTCAGATAGGGCCTCGAACTCGAAAAAAAATGTCAAATAAGGTCATATTTAGGATGCTCTGTCCGGCCGACGCCATTTGGGGTGGTTCCCGATGGAATTTTTTGATGAAATTTTTTGAGCATCTTCCTCATTAAGTCTAGTTTACTCATACCAAATTTCAGCTAAAAATTCAACCGGGAAGGTAGTCAAATGATTTTTTGAAGATAATTGTGAAGTTAAACAACCCCGTACATTTCGGAAAATCATTTGACTACCTTCCCGGTTGCATTTTTAGGTGAAATTTGGTATGAGTAAACTAGACTTAATGAGGAAGATGCTCAAAAAATTTCATCAAAAAATTCCATCGGGAACCACCCCAAATGGCGTCGGCCGGACAGAGCATCCTAAATATGACCTTATTTGACATTTTTTTTCGAGTTCGAGGCCCTATTTGACCCTTATCCCTTTTTCTTATTTCAGATAAGTTTTGTCACTGTTACGCTATTTCAACTTCAAAATCCGGAACAATATCTTGCTTTAATGTTATCACTTGGGATTACATTTATACTCCGTATTTAGAAATCTGGAACACTATAAATATGTTGCTTTAACATATCTTGCATGAAGGGTAAAAATGCCATAATGAATTAGAACACTCTCACCCAAATAACAATTTATTACATTAACCTAGATTCATCTAATTTGTTTCCAAACGACATTTTACATATGCACCTAGTTTAATTAGGTTTATCTAGTTTATTAAGATTTAGGTTTACTTTGTTACACTATGTTTACTTAAGTTCACCCTACCGAAATACAACGTTAAAGTAACATATATGTGGTTACAATTATTTCTCTCTCATATGCACAAATATCAACCACACATTTTTACTGTATTATTCTACGTGCAAGTCAAGTTTGATATGTAGTTCTCAGCAATGGAAGATAAATTGTAGAATTGCCATATTAGTGAAAGGTCCAAAGGTTTAATTTAGTCCACAATTTTTTAAAGAAATGTCCACACTTAGGATATTTCAATGGATATAAGTGCAGAAATAAAGTGACGATGTAAGGTGATTTGTTATATATTTCTCAATTCTGATGAGACAATTAAATCAACTTTCTTATTTTTGACTCTTTTATTTTTATTTTGAAGAAATAAATCTAAGCATTTTTTGCATCTTGCAACTTCAAATTGGTTTTACTTAGAGAATCCATAAATTCTTTGATTGTACTTGCAGCAGTGCTTCAGATTATTTTTTTCCCCTCAAATTCCTTCTACTATTAACAGCAAACCCAATTGTGCGCTCCTATATTGTTTATTACCTAGTATGTGTTACTACGGAGTAGTATTTATTTGCACCCTTCTCCCATCTTTGAAAACATGCAAATATGCAATGTGATCAGGGGCGGAGCCAGGACACTGGGCCGGACTGGGCCGGTACAAAGAATATTTTTGGAAAAAAAATTACACTGAATTTTTTACCTTAAAAATTTAGACATTTTTAAAATTTGGGCTGGACCATAGCCAGAGATGGCCACCCCCTGTCTACGCCCATGAATGTGATCTCATTTCTAGAGTGTGTTTAGAAGGTGATAGTTGATCACCCAAAAAGATTGGGGGTCACGGTGTAGGATGAAGGGTTTAATATTTGGTCTCATTTAAACGGTTCTCGACTCGGGGAGTGGCGAAGGGTAAAAATCCTAGCCGTCTCCCCTCTCTTCCCCTCTTCCTAACGATGTATAGGGCTTGTATATTCCTCGTCGGTGAGACCGATCGTGCGTTGAAATTTTATTGGTGGTGGACGGCAATGTTTGTCCTACGTGATTCTTTTGGGAAGGTAACGTCAGACATCGACTACTCCAAGACCTGAATTATTCATCCTCCTCTTGAACCACCGTCATGCTATGAGAGAAAGATTGTGCGCGGGTTGATCTTCTTTTGGATGACTTATCAAACAAATGATATTTGCAATTTATTCCCCGTAGTTGGTCATACTGAGGATTCTAGTTGTTTCTTTATTGTTGCTGGACAAATCATATTTTCAATTATTTCCTTATCACCGCATCGTAAAACTGATTTATATGTTTGTTTCTCACATAGTAGTTTTAGTACTTCTCTAGTCCTGATTATTCGTTAAGTAGCAAAACTGCAGAAGCTTATAGGTTGATCGAAGAATGCATCTTTGCAGAGTTACCGAATTGTTATGTTCCTTGGGAACTTTTCAATTCTATGTCCCATCTCATTGTAGCTCCATTGGGCTATCTAAATTGCTTTTGTATTAATCATTTTTTATTATTAATAAATAGGTGTTTTTCTTTCAAAAAAAATATTTGGTCCCATTCTTTTGCATTTGAACATGGGAAGTATTTTAAAGTGCTAATTACCCGAACAGTTCATTTTTCCATGCCCTATATCATTTATAGCCCAACTTTTTTCTCTTTTCATTTTTAAACTTTTAAGTTATCAATTTTGTTATCTTATTTCACTTTTAGCCGGTATCGCCAACCTCTTCCGAACTCTCTATCTCGACCATGGGAGAGAGGCACAGGGGCGATTCCCGTCGGTGAGAAATTTTGGGAGAGCCGATGGAGAGATCAGACCATGAGTTTCAACTTTCTTCTCAAGGAAGGGGGTCCCATGGTCAGGATTGGACATCTTTCATGGAGCAGTGTCGGAATCCTTGTCCCAGCATCACCAGTCGGCCAAGCGATCGATCTGGTGCAAAGACGTAAGCCTCTATTGGTTAAATGCTTCTCAAATTAGAGGTATTCAGATCAGTTTCTTACGACTTGTCTACTGAATTGAATCGAGCTTCATTATCGAATCGATCTAAGTTTACCTTCGTCAAATTTAATATTTTTGGTACTTCGGAGATAAAATCCAATGAATATTGTTGTATTGTTGATCCTTATGAGGGTTAGGAGAATCGAATATAACTCAACTACTAGATCGACTGAGTTAACCTTCCAATTTTCTTCACCATTCTTCTATTATTCATTGAATAGTCTATGTTTCGTTGGTTTTGAGCACATCATATTGGGTATTTTGTTTGGTAAGACCTGCAAAAATTTAGAGGTTTGCTGTCCCTAGCTACTGTTTTGGCCAGTTTTCCTTCAAGGTTCAAGTGTCAGGTGTCAATCTTGTGTGGAGTATGCTGAAATGGCAGCATTACGTGAGGTTATGATTGTTGCGCCCGCCGTTTATGGCTTGGTATTTTGGAGATGTGCAGGTTTCTTTTGTTAACGTACATTATAACATGAACATTTTTTTAACTATATTATAGGCTACATCTAAAGTTTTGTGAAAGGGAAAATAATTCTATTGTACTCCTACATTATACATGAAATTAGATTGTTAATGTTTTATATCATACATAGGCACTCACGGCTGATTTGAAACTGGATAGCAAAAGTGGTTGATAAATCCACTTATCCACACTAAGAAGTATATAGATGAGTATAGTAATATTCTGTACATCTATTTTCCATCTCTTTGGATAACTCCTGTATATGACAGTAAGTGGATGATCAACGTGTACTAGAATTAGATTGCATTTGATAACAACTAAAGTAGTTGAACATCTTATAGGAACACCAAAGAGATTGATGGTGATTTGATTCTCATTACCCCTGGCATAGAAGCATTGTCAAGGTTGTTAGAGAAAGATAAGTCACAGGGAAGAAGACTTGAAATCGTTTGTTGGAATTGCTTTTTTGAAATATGCATTCATTGGACATTTGCTTCATCATATGTTTGGAGAAACAGCAAATATACTCTATCAAATATAGAGTTAATTGATAATGTCTAAACACATGTATAAGTTAAGCAATGAAGATACATAACCTGGATGCCTTGGAGATATTTCTTTCAATTTAAGTCTGATTATACAGAAGCTCATTGCAGGTGTATAAAAGATAGAAAGCACATGCATGACTACAATGATTACAAGACTAAGAGGATCAAACAAGGACAACGAAGCCAAAAGTGTCAAATCTGAATAACTATATGTTAAGATGCATAAAAAGAAGAAGAAATAATAAGAACAAAGTCGAAATATATAATAGGTAAATGTAATAAAATGAAATAAAAGATTGAATTATTAATTTATGGGATAACTTTCTGTTTTGTTTTGTTTCTTTTTGTTGCATCGTATATGTTTCTTATTGTTGAAACATGTTTCTTATTGTTGCATCATATTATTTATTGTTGCATTGTGTTGTGCATCGTGTGGGTTATTGTTGTTTGTTTTTTATTTTAAATTTTGTTGTTTGTTTAGGTTTCTATATATCTTTGCTACTTCTTTGGAATAAAAACCAATATATAGATATATTTAAAAACTCTAAAATGGTATATTTTAAATTGAATATCAGCAATAAAAAATGAAGAAACAATAAAAAACAAAAAAATCAAAGTGATCAACAAAAAGAAACAAAAAGAAAACATATGCAACAAAAAGCACCAATAAAATGATATTTCTTTTATCTATTTAGAAAGTATGAAGCAACATCCTGTTTCATTTTGTTGCATCGCGTTGCTGTTTTACTTTGTTTCTTTTTGTTTTATCTTGTTGCTTTTTGTTGTATATCATTTTACTTTTCATATTTTACATTTTTATAATTGTTAAAAAAATTATAATTATTAAACAAAATTCTCAATTATTTACTAGATTTTACTATTTATAATTTATTATGTTTTTATTACTTTTTATCAATGCATAATTTTTATTCTACTTTTTGAAATTTTTTTGTACGTAGTTTATTTTTTCATTTTTTCAAGTTTTTTAAAATAATCAACCACTTCTCGTTCCAAAAAAAAGCAACCACTTCTTAGCTTTAGTAGTTAAATACCATCTGTGTTGCTTTTCTATTCCAAATGATAAAAAATATATAGAAATCATAATAAAAAAGTAAATGAAATGTAAATAATCAACAAATAAAGAATAACATATTACAAGTTATATGTAAAATAAAATAAAAAGCAACACAAAGCAACATTGTACAACATATAAAAACAATATAGTGATACTCAAAATAATTATCTTTTAAATATATTTTAAAAACATTAAATTACATGAAAGTTAAATTTGTACTTCAAAAATTTTGTCAAATTTTTAACTAATTTGAAAGTATTGTGATTTTCTTTTTAGAGACTTGTTTTTTTTTTTTAATTTTTCTACACCTTTTTTTACTTTTTATATTTATATTTTTAATTTTTATTGAAGTTTTAATTTTTTATTATTACACTTTTATATTTTTTTAATATCGATTATATTAACTATATAAAATTTACCTACAAAAATCATACTCTGTATTTTTTTTCCATTTTTCCGGATTTTTAAGTAAAGTCTTTATATTTTTGTTATTTTCAAGCTTTATTTTTTAAGTATATATACATTTTTAAGATTTTATGATATATTGTTTAAAATTAGTTTTATTTAATTTAACTTGCAAGATTTTAAATTTCGTTTTGATTATGCATTTTTTGGCATTTTAATTTTTTGACCTTCAGTATTTTTTTTACACAAAATTAGTTTTTCTCTTAATAATTTCATTTGTTTGTTTTTTGATAAACTTTTTACACTTTTTTCCTAAAAACAAAAAAAAATTAAGTCCACTCAGAAAAACCAAATTACGTTACACCTTAAGTTCGTACAGAGTATGAATTTATTCGAGTATTAACTAATAACGGTGGGAAATAGATCTGCGCGTAACCCAGCCGGCCAGCCCCACAGCTATATAAGCAACGGCTAGACATTTCCGTCGCTGAGGGTTTTAAACAGTGCTGATCTATTTATGAAAAGAAAACTCCGTCTAGTCTATTTTTGAAAAGAGAATTCCAAAATGAAAAAAGTGATATTATTTTCAGTGTTAAGCTTATTTGTGAAAAATGCCCTATTTTAAAAGGGATGAGAGTAAACTTAAAAGCTGAAAAAAGTAGGGACCGGAATATAGATCCCGGTTCTCGGCCTCCCAAATTCTTTTCAAGGCCGGCCAATCCAAGACCAGGACGTGCCCACCCCTACATAGGCCTTTACCAAGAAATGTCGCACAATTTAATGTATTGATCAATGTTTTAACTTTTAAGAGCACTGGCATATTGAGATCACCCTGTGCAAAATAGTACGGAGTAATAGTGGTAATAACAAAACAAGAATAAGAAAGAGGACGAGGGCGATGATGATAATTAACAATTTAACACTTAAAATGCCTCAAATTGCGTAGATACAAACTGTGCAACCATATATTACAATACTGTCCAGCCATGTTGCAGATGTTATACTAGTTTCCAGAGTACTAATTTGAAGGATTTAATAGTCATAACCGCCAAAAAACAGGGGAAGGTGTGTCCAAGAGTGAAATGAGCAGTTGTTAGCAAATTGGAGTTGTCCGAATGAAGAGTCATTCAGTTGGGGAAGCTTTCTTTGGATCGTCAGACAAGGTCACCAAAGATCTAAGAACGCCAGGGCTGATCTTGTCAGCAAGAACTCCTTTTTCTGATAGAGAAAAGGACTTCTCCTTCACATAGCTTTGGAGTTTCTTAGCTTCATAATCAAGTTTATTTTGATCTGCATTAAAAGTTAAAAAGTGTCGATGTTACTCCAACCATTTCATCTTTTATACTTTCTGCAGAAAGATCCTACGGAGAATAACTTAGATTTAACACCAAGCTATCATTAAAAGGTAACAATTCGTACACATCCCTTTTAAATTGTGCAGATATGCAAACACAAAAAAGATCATACCATCAAGAAAGAGACATAAAAAGTATAGTCAAAAGAAGAAACCTTGCTCCAGAATCGTATGGACAGCATGAAATGGAATACTAGCAAACACATCAGTTCCTGGAAACATAAGCCAGTTGCTTTCCTTCACATCATGATTGCCACAAGTTGAACAAATCTCTTTCACCAATGGTCTTGACTCAATACCCCGCATAATCGACTCAAAAGGTAGACCTATGCTGCTTTTTGAAGTCTTGGCTCTCTTCCTTAACGCCGTCAATGCTTCCCTATTTCTGTTTCTTTCCCTGTCATTTTCAACTAACTGCAACTACGTTAGAAAAATTTCACTTCTGTTTCCATTATTATGGGTAGTAAAAAAATCAAGCACCTCTTGTCGTGCCAATAAAATATTCTCTCCTTCAATTTCTAGCTCAATCAACTTTTCTTGGAAGTGAGTCATTGTGGCATCCATGTTATACCACAGAATGAATAGTCTTCTATATAACAAAAAAAACATCAAAATCAATAAGCAAATATTAAATGCTCATGGAAAGCTGATGGAGAGTGAAAACATCATCCAATGTTTTCTTCAATTGCAATACTGTGAAAACCTTCTATTATACATGACACAAAAGTTATTATGCAACACATACTTAGCAAATTTGGACAATAGAGATAAAAACAATTCTGATTAATATGCTTGCATAAGAGCAATACTGACAAATTATCATCCTCTTAATAATACTAATAAGTTTACCGTCACTTGTCCCATTAATACTAATTAATTTATCAGTTTTTTTACACAAAAAAGTAGATTAACAAGCTAACATAATGAAGTCAAGTCTAATTCATGACAAGAACATACTAAGGCATATGAATAAAAGGTAAACAAATTTGCTGAACTAAAATTGATGTGGGGAACAATCGGATGGATGGCTATTGGAGAATGGGTATGTGTTGGTCTCAGTGCTGTCTGTGTTTTTCTCTTCGGCGGAAGATTTTTTTGGAAGAAGAAGGCAGTTACGGAACTCGCATGGGCAGTATAGGAAAAATAAGGAAATGCCAATGCTAAATGCTGGGATGAGTGGCGTTTGACATTTCAGCTGTTTCGGACAAAAAGCCAATTGAAAATGTCATTTCACCAAACACACTTATTAGCTGATTGATTTAGTCAAAAGGCCAAACATGGTCAAATCAGCCAAAAAATGGCTGATAGGCTCCTTACCAAACACCCCCTATGTACCCCCTATGTGAAAACCAGAAGCATATATTCACATTTACTGTACATTGACTAAAACAAGAGAAACAACAAAATAGAACAATACACAGGAAACAATCTAAAATAACACTTAAAGAGTAAAATTGTGGTTTTTTCAGCTTTATGAACCCTCACACTTAAAAATCAGATTGCAACCCATAATTTAGATTCATAATTCAGAATCAATTCATACTTGTTTAATTCAACAACAATGTAGGGAGCAATCTAGGGATATTCCAGATTCATAATTCAGAATCAATTCACAACAACCTGAAAGTTGAATGCTAACAAGTCACAATACTCACATTAATTCACAGATCACGATTCCTCGAACTAAAGCTGAATTAGAAAATTCAAAAGTAAATTCCGGGAATCTAGGGAGCAATCTTTCTGAATTCAGAACCACAACAACCCTCAAATTGCAGAAATAAAGGCATAAAGCTGAACTAAAATAAGATATAACAAAAATAAAACTAACAGTAAATTACACACCTGAAATCGGAAGACCAGCGACCCAGCGAACAGGAAGGGGCGGAGTAGGGCACTGCGGTCACCGAAGCGAAATTGCAGGGGATACTAGCCTACTAGGTCGACACCGAGCTTTCCGTCGATGTGGCGAACGCCGACCGGCGTGAGTGGTAGCAGGTCTCACTTGTCTGCTTCGACAGTTTGACTCGCGGTGAGGATGGAAGAACGGAGGTCGTTCATTACTGATTTACCGCTTCAGCCCTTCAGTTCGCATGGGCCTCTTTTTTTTTAGTTTAGGGCCTCTGGACGAGCCCTTCTCACAAGTAGTAGACTAGCGGTGTAGTGCCAACTTTTTATGATTTGGGTGTGGGTTCTTTTAGTGAAATGAAATAATCACATACTTGTAATCTATGTTGCACCGATACTTCACTTCGATGCCGTATCCGCGTATCTGATACGTATCCGTATCCGATACTCACTGATACCCGTCCTGTACGTATTGGGTCCGTATCCGTAATTTAATAAAAGTATCGGGCTTAATTTTAAAAATACCGATACTTCCGATACCCGTATCCGTGAACCGATACGCGTATCTGAACCTATAACCCCTCATTTTATACACGACATGACGAAAATTTAGTAGTCAACCAAGCGACCACAACATGTGGAACATTGATAAAGATGGTTTCGGGAGTATGAAAAATAATGGAATACTATAATTTGACATTTCATTGCTTGATGATATTTAATTGAAACAAGACTTGGATGTAAATGCAAATAGAGAACAAAAAAAAATTATTTGAATTTAAATCAAAATATCAATACTTTAGTTTTTTAGACTAATCTTTGAAACTTTATTATAATAGTTAATTTTTTGTACTATTATTATTATTTTATTTATGAACCCCTGAATTATATATATTTGCAAATTATACCCTATATTTTTATTATTTATAAATATACCCCCGTACCCGTATCCTATAATTTTTGAAAGTGCCGTATCGCCGTACCCGTATCCGCGTATCCGCGTATCGGCGTATCCGTATCCGTGCAACATAGCTTGTAATGATAATAAATGTTGTTTATGAATTCGACTTTTTAATTGTAGTGATTATAGTAGTGATTTTATTCATATTAATTTGTGTTTAATTTTATCCTTAAATAATTACGGAGTTTTTTTTTATAATATAGTAATAGTCATTAGTCATATTTTTGTAAATAAGTTTCATTTTTGTAACATATTTGAAAAACCTCCATTTTATCATGTGTATAATATGAACTACTTTTATTTTGAGTTTGAGCCGCGACTACACAAATTTAAAAATATTGTATGATCATTGCATATGGACTACATGATATCTAGCATATCAAGTGAATTTATTCACTTTTTCGTATTTCATTAGTGATTTGTTTAGGTGAAAGTAAAAAGTATGACCCTTTTTCAATTATACATATAAAATTGATTAAGATTTGAGTTTGTATAAGCATCTTGATTTGAATTTTTCATGTGAAATTATTCAGGCTCTACAGAATATAAGAATGGCCTTGAGGTGTGTGAAGATTGGAAAATAACTTAAAGATTTTTTTGATTACATGGCTTTTTCTTGGGAGAAGATTCACAACAATAACATCCAAATCTTACTTCTGAAAAAAGTTTGATGTCAAAGTAGCATGAATTGATATATGATGAGTTAAAAGAAAAAAGATAGACACCCCATCCCTAAAGATCCCCCCATCACCGAGGAGGATAGAAATTGAACTTTAATCACATGCCGATAGTTATTAAATGACGATCATTGCATTTGCATAATAATATCTCATCGCAGTTGAAAGAAATTGAAATCGAAACTCAACCTTTATGACACCCTCAATCGACCTGCTGAGCTATACCTCCAACGATAGCATAGTTGAAAACACTAGAATAAGAAGGATGTAGATATAAAAAAAATATACTACGTATATTTTGCTGGTGGAGGATTTATATGACATTTGAAGTAAGATATAAAACATAGAAATTAGTTTAGAACAATGTTGATTGTCAAATGAACAAGTTATTGAGGATTTTCTTTTTTATTTTCGTCTTATAGGAAATCATACATTGTCCATCATAAAATGCATATATATCTAGGCTTAAATAGTTGGTGTCTTGTACGACAGGTGACCACCACCTTGAAAAGACTTTTCCCAAGATACGGATTTGAATTATACTACGTATGACACAAATTGGATATAGCTCAAAATTGGCATGACATGTTAGTGTGAAATACTCATTCTGTCATTCATACTACGTATGAGATTCTGAGAAAAGAGTGAGATGGAAACATCATTAGAAAGGTAAATCTGATTTTCTTGAATGAACAGGAAGGTATCACTGAGTTAGAGATGAATTGCTTATCCACAAGCCAAACAACCACAAGAACGGCCAAAAATACCCATGTTACCAGCGGTTTGGAGAGCAAAAGGTAGCAGATGCATCAAGGTATTTGTCAATCTACTGTGTGCAAGTTTTTGAAAATCCCCATCTCAATTCAGCCTGGACTCCATTTTCTTGATAGCTTCTTCAATTTCAGGGACACTCTGCTTGAAGGATGCCCATTGTTCTTTTGTCAAGCTTATTCCTGCAGACAAAAGCACAGTACAAAGACATAGTCAAATGGTTTGTTCACAACTTCACATCAACAGCACAATAAGCATAACCATGGAATTGCTTGCAACCAATTCAACATCCTACATACCATGTATCTCTTAATTCTAAATATCCCAGCCCAGTTGTTCTTATAATTCTCCTTGCCTGCCCAGACCCCGTATAGTGCATTATACCAATATCTCTTAAAACAAAGCAAAACCATGGTTCCCAACCCAACCAGCCTCATAAATGCCAAAAACCTCCACATATGCAGTAGAAGAAGATATGCAAACGGGAATTACTATGTTTGCACCTCATAACCAGTAAAAACTAGGGCAGTAGATGTTCAATACATTGAAAATAACGCCTAAACAGTTGAGTTTAACACGATGTTTTGACTTCAATTGATAGGAATGTTCAGGAAATTGACGTGATCATCAGCAATTTAATCAATACTCCGTATTAGAAGACAATGAAACAACGATTTGGAGTATGTTACCTTTAGTGGAAGGGAGCTCTTTGCCATCTTTCGTATAGTATTCTCTTATTGACAGCAGAGGCGTCCCTTTGTATTCAGTGAGCGTCACTTTTCTCTTATCCGACAACTACACAAAGTTTAGCGAATTATCGATTAGAAATCTGCTCTGATCTGAACTTCATAGATTACATTCAATTCTCATAAGATACATACATTACGTTCTGAAAACGATGTCTAAGGTATATAGCATCGCATTCGTCAAATAACTAATCATGAAAAATAACAGATAAAACAAACAAAGAAAACCGAGGCTAGGTATAACTCACTCGGCAGAGAACAAGGTCACCGCAGTCATCATACTCTTTTGCTTTCTCCGCGACGGCTATCTCTATAGCTTTTGGTTCCAGGAGGTACGTTTCCACGACGGAGCGAACAAGCTGCATCCGAACCGGGTCGGAGAGGTCAATTCCGAGCTTTTCAGAAGCGGACTTTCGGACCGTGTACTCCGTGGCCGTAGCCATGTCAGCGGACTTGAGAACTTCCAACACTGCTTCTGCGATTTTGGTTTCGATGTCGTCCATAGACTCTGAAGCCATTTTCGTTCGAAATCTACGTTTGTGCTCTGAGAAGTTGGAGAGAGGACAGTTGTAGATGCTACCTGATTCAGGTAAGTGGAAGGTGGCGAAGAGTTGTGAGAAAATGGGGAAGGAAAAATAGACGAGACGGGTTTGAGTAGTCGCTCTTCTTACTCGACCTCCCGCTCATTTTTAAATTTTCCAATTCGGGGTTAATGTGTTTTGATGGTTATTTTCTATAGTAATTACTCTAAATAGGAGTAAAACTAGGCTGAAATTCAAAAACAGGACTTCCTATGTTTTTGTTCTAAAATAGGACCATATTGCTCCTATTATGAAACATAGAGAAATTAACATTACATTTTTGCCCCTCAACCTATTTCTCACACTTGAATTCTCTCCGCATCACGATCGATTTCAGCAAACCCATCAGATGGTCTATTGCGTCGTCTCTCCTTCCCCTCTGCATCTCATCCATGGAGTTCCACTCCCCTGGACATCAGATTGGTCATCTTCTTCCTTGTGCATCGAATCGATCGATTCCACTGACGCCGCACGCCATCGTTAACTCCCCAACCATAGCCATCGTCACTATCGTTGACTCTACTGCACACCATCTCCGGTCAGATTTCTCCTCCTCCCCCTTTTCTTCTTCTTCGTCTTCTTCCTCTTCTTCTTCTTCTTCTTCTTTGTTTTAACATTGATTTTTCAGATTTTCCTCATATTCTTCTGTTTTTATGAGTTTTGACCTTCATTTGGCTGGTTTTGGGACCTCTGTTTCGTATTTCCGATTCAGATCTATTACTTTTCAAAAAACACGATTTTCTGCAATTTTGGATGATGGCATAAGATTCTGCCATATTTATGGCAGAAATATGCATACTGACAAATGATTATGGCAGAATAGATTTGTGTAAATTGGTTTTTAATTTTTTTGTCAATAATTTCGTATTTGTGATTTTTGATTGTATGGAAGTATTTATTCCTTTTGAAAAAATTATTTTTCGAATATTTACCTGTTGAGTTCATATGTTTGCCATTTTTATGACATTTTTTGTGTTATTCTTCCAAGACAAATCTGCCAACTTTTTTGGCAGATTTAATGTTCATACAAATGGCAGATTTAAATTAAACTTAAAAGCCAAATCTGCCAACTTAATGGCAGATTTATGGCATTGCTGTTGTGAAGGTGGTGGTGGTACTTGGAGTTGCAGCGGTGGTGACGGCGAACGGAATGAGTGACGGCGGCGGCGGCGGTGAAGGACGACAACGTTGGTCGGGGCGACGCCGGTGTGGGCGGTGGCAGCGGACGCACTGGCGGTGGCATTGGCGAGGGTGGCGCTGTCGAAGACGGTGGCAGGCGGCGGCGGTAAACGGCGCTGGAAAGGCGGCAGATGGCGGCGCCGGTGGTGCTGGCGAGGGGCGGCGGCGGCGGCTTTGGATCTAGCGGCGGCAATGCTACTGCTTGAAGTTGAATCCGTAGGGTTCAACATGTTTTTTATTTTACATTTTCAAAATTCAAAAAATTAAAACAAGGGTATTTTTGTCCAACTGTGATGTATTTGGTCCTATGAAACATAGTTTCATTTTTTGCTCCTATTTGTGCACTCACGTGTACTTTTAGTCCTACAAAGGTAATTAACTCTATTTTCTACTACCTTCTTTCTCTTTTAATTGCAATATTGAACTTTTTACATTTTTCACGTATTTTACTTTGATTATGTTTTATTAATTAATGTATTATAGATTAAATTTTTAAAAAATGTTGTTAAATTCTTTTCATTCTAAAATTTTAAAATATGAATTTTTTAAATTTTTTACCAATAAGGAATAAGGAATGAAAGATATTAATGGTCAAACTTGTGCGTTGGCAAATGTGAAATGTTGACCGTTGCAATTAAAAAGGAACGGAAGAAGTATTTTTATTTTTTATTTTTTATAATTTCGACACTTTTTAATATATGAGGTGAATTGAACAATACGATTGGGTTCAGGCGCTTATTTAACCACTTAAGTTGACACCTCAAATGTACAGTTGACACATGACCGGATGATGTGACGCTAACAGAAAGGCTACCTGTAATTTATTAAATTTGAAACTTTTTATCCAGTTCAGAATGCTACTTGGAACTTTGTTTTGTTCAAGGGGCGAATTGACAATTTTTGACATGTACAAGGGCATATTTGCCCCCCTTAGCCTAAAAATTTTGACCATGCTGCTGAGAAACATTTCCTATTCGGGGTTTGTTTGGGGTTGCTCTTACTTTTTAAAAGTTATTTTAAATGTTTTAGCTAAAGGGTCAAATAGGTCCATGTACCGGTCGTGTAAGTTCGATTCAGTTCCTGACCTAAAAAAGGTCCAATTCGCACCCCGAACCGGAAAAAAGGGTTCAAAGTTCATTTTTTACAGGTCAACCGGTAAAAAAGGTCAAATTCGCACACTTAAACTATTAAAAAGTGTCAAAATTGAAATAAATCGAAAAAAAAAAAAGAAACGGTTAAAAAAATACCGGTTGTTTACCCGTAAAAATTGAAATTTGAACCATTTTTGTCGGTTCGGGGTGCGAATTGAACCTTTTTTAATTCAATGACTGAATTGAGCTTACACGACCGGTATAGTCGCCTATGTGACCCTTTAGCCAAATGTTTTTGAAGAAAGTGTTTCATAGTAAAAGATAGTCATTTTTCAGAAAAAATGTTTCGAAAAAATAAAAATTAGTAATGTTTAATAAAATAATTGATATTTTTATAATAGAAAAAGTGAAAAGAAGTCAAAAACTTATTTCACATGAATGCACTCATTTTAATTTTTTGAGTCAAAAACTTGAAAAGCATTTTTTTAATTTTTTTAATTTTTTTTTAACACCCTAAATTTTGCTAAAGTCCCAAAATAGTGTCACTTTCATTTAAGCAACACCACTTTTCTCTAATATACTCCGTAATGTTATAAAATGAAGAAGATGGAGACTAAATTTATGAGATAGATATAAAGATAAAAGTCAGGATATTATTCTTCTTTTTAATGTGAGAAATTCTGAATTTTTGAGTTTCTAAATGAATTTACAAGGCTTCATCAAGCTCCTATTTATAGTGTTTGAGCTTTGATGATTAGTCACCTAAATGATGAGTCTACAAATTTGGTGGCAATAACAAATTGAGCCACCTGTTCTAACTAGATTACAAGGATCATTACAAGGATGATGAATAGCTTGGTGTCCTAATGACAAGGGTGAACAATTCACACTTGTCAATTCCTATATTTTACAATACCCCCCCCCCCCCTGGATGTTCATCCTTGAGTAGGTATTTGTTAATTTAAAAACTTATTGTGAAAATGAGTGTGAAATTAAAGGGGTAAAAATTACGACTTATAATGTCGTTGTATTTGGATGTACTGTCTCGTTAATAAACTTATCAGGAAAAACCCAGTGGGATAAAAACTTGATGAAGGGAAAAAGAGTGCAGTGCATTCAAATACTCCCCCTGAATTTAGCATAAATTATGAAGGCGGGACATGCCGATTTTCTGTACAAGTTCTATGAATTTCTTCGGGGGAAATGACTTGGTGAAGAGATCAGCCGGATTTTCACTGGATCTGATTTGTTGAATGTTGATTGTCCCTTCTTTCTCTAGGTCATGAGTAGAGAAAATTTTTGGTGATACATGTTTTGTTCTGTCTCCTTTGATGTAGCCCTCTGTAGTCTGAGCTATGCACGCAATGTTGTCTTCATAGATCACAGTAGGCTGACAAGTAAGAAGTTTCATACCGCATTCATTTTGGATGTGTTGAATCATAGATCGCAGCCACACGCATTCTCTCCCAGTTTCATAAAGTGAAATTAACTCCGAATGATTTGATGATGTAGCTGTCAAAGTTTGTTTCATAGATCTCCACGAGATTGCGGTGTTACCATAAGTAAATACGTACCCGGTTTGTGATTTCGCCTTTTGAGGATCTGATAAGTATCCAGCGTCTGCATATCCGATTAAAGAGCCTTTTGCATCTTTGTGGTAGAATAATCCGAGATCAACTGTAGCATGTAGATACCGGAATATGTGCTTGATCCCGTTCGAATGACGCCTTGTTGGACATGAGCTGTACGTAGCTAATAAATTAACAGAAAATGCAATATCTGGTCTAGTATTATTAGCTAAATACATTAAAGCTCCAATAGCACTTAGATATGGGACTTCAGGACCGAGTATTTCTTCGTTGTCTTCTCGGGGACGGAATGGATCATCATGTATGTTGAGAGATCGAATCACCATTTGAGGGCCCATTTTTGTACGATGAGGTGGAGCAATCGAAACATAAACAGCACAAACATCAACCCCCCCCCCCCCCCCCCCCCCCCCGATTTTTTAGCAAATAATTATGATTTAAAAGTCAAACATTTCGATGTAAAATAAATAAATATAGGACTAAGTCTCGTACCTTAGATCATATAGCATTATTGGTTCAGATGTTGGTTTGTATCGTGAGAATGACATGCATAGACATGATTTTATTAATAGTTTCTCAATCACGGGACTGCCTGATCACGAATTGCATCTAAAGGTTGGTGCTCCCATTATACTCTTGAGAAATATAGACTAGCCACCGAGATAATGTAATGGATCCAGGTTGATTCTCAGTAAGCTCGAAAAACATGTGCAAGAGTCAAAGATCATCACTAGAAGAAATATGGAGGGCACTTTTCACATTCCTAGAGTGTCGTTATCTCCATGTGAAGTAACACTCCCTTTTACTTTTCAGAGGAAGCAATTCCCAATTATGGTATGCTTTGTGATGAGCATCAACAAGAGGCAAGGTCAGTCTCTATCTCAGGTCAGACTATATCTTGAGAAAAATGTCTTCACTCACGGTCAATTATATGTTTCGATATCAAGGGTCAAGAGCAAAGAAGGATTGAAGATTTTATTCCGCTCTAAAGACCGGGGGTTTCCACCAAGATTACAAATGTTATCTATAAAGAGATTTTCCAGAATGTAGAAACATAGCCTTTAGATTTGTTGTGTATTTTAGTCATTCGAATGTGTTATAGATCCTGACTTCTTTATTATTATTATTATTATTATTATTATTATTATTATTATTATTATTATTATTATTATTATTATTATTATTATTATTATTATTATTATTATAATATAGTATTATATCAAATTAATAAATATTTCAATGCTTTTGACAATGAGAATTAGAAAATTGTTAAGAAATATATATTTCAAACATATACAAAATTATAAACGAAAAAATTCATATGGAAGTTGCACCCGGTGTAATGCCCAGATACAAAACTAGTTAAGCATTATTTAGTGGGCCATTCATTTCAAAATTCATATCTCATCGCATCTCATCCATGCCATAACCTTCTTATTGATAGGAGTAATCTGTTAAGAAAAAAAATTGGCAAAGCTTTGAACCGGTAACCTCTTTTTTTAGAGTATCACATTGATGTCATTAGACCACGATATACTTAACTCAAAAAGCAACTTTTATCAAATTCAAAACACCAAAATGTCCAAAGTACTTAACTTGGTCGTTAGATAGAGACAAGTAAAATGCACCTGTCACCTTAGGTATCAAAATGCTTTCATGATATTGGTCATTACGCTAACTGCAAGTCATCTTTGTCAATAAATTAATTTTTCTGCCAGTTTATACGTATTCACTCGGTCAATTCAGTTTTTACTGTAACCCGGCACTGTCAATATATTCACTCTGAAAAGTTTTTTTAATTAAAGTCTTACATTTATGATTATGCATCATTTTTTCTGAATTTTTAGCGAATAATTATGATTTAAAAAGTCATATATTTCGATGTAAAATAAATCAATTTGGAGTTTAATTTTATTTTTGTTACTTTGGAGCTATTTTTAAATAAAATGATTGAAAGACGTAAAAAAACAATTAATTATGGGATCTTAATTTTAGTATCTGAATCTATTTAAGAAAAAAAATGGATTTAAAAACCTTTCATCAGTTGAAACTTCACCTTTTCCCTTATAACTATATACTAGTATATTCTATATTAATGTCATATATATGAAAGATCATATAAAGTTAAAAATATTTGATAATTTTTTTAAAAAAAAAATGAAGTGTAAATAAAAGGTTGTCACTTTAAATAAAATTGGGATTTATATTCTCAATGGAACGCATTTTATTCTTTGATGCGGCAACTACTTTCCGATCCTCTCCTTTCATCCAACGAAGAGTTAATGGATGCAGGGACGGACCTAGGAAATCCATCTTGGGGGGTTTAAATTATTTTTTGGGGGACGAAAATTATTTGTCGTATACATATAAACTAAAAAAAATGTTGGAGGTCGATAGCCCCTGAGTCTCTCCTACGGTTCGCCCCTGTCATTGGGTGATTAAGGTTACCTAATTCCCACTCATGGGGTGTCATCTACCACTTTAGCGCTTCCAAATACTTGTAGAGGTTTTGGGGTGAAAAGCTCAAAATAACTTCTTCACCCCAAGGGATGGGGTCAGCCTTATTGTATACATTCCTCGCCACATTTCATGAATGAATACATCATTGAGTAATCATCTTCTCATTTTTAGTTTTTGACATCACCTAAACCAGCACAACACATGAATAACTAAGCGATTGTCAATGCCAATGATTAGAGACATTAAATACGTAACTTGAGATTGAATGAAATACAATGTTCCTCACAATTCTCTAAAAGTCTAAAGTTTGAAACTTTTCGATTTATCGGGTTGGTTTAAAAGAGTGCTTCAATGGCATGAGGCGTTCAAAATAGGTATCGAGTCTTACGCCCTAAACAGTATGAGGCTATATATGGCCATATACCTTGAAGATCGTTTTCTTTTTTTCCACAGGATTTTAAACATTTTTGCCCTTTCTTTTTACTATCAAGCTGAAGCTTCATTAGTCCTAGGAGAGAATTCCATTCAAGATCCTGAAAATATATGTGCCAAATATTTATTGTTGTAAGAGAGAAAGTTTTATTTTTTTAAAACACCACATGAGAACAACGCACTGATGATTACGGAAAACTTGTTGATGATTGCTTAAACTTCAAATTTGGATGCCTATTGGCTCAAACGGCTTTGTTTTTTGGGAAAAAGGGTCAGATAAACCCTTCAACTTACATAAAAAGGTCAAATAAATCCTTATATTGGAGGTTCTGTCCGGACGTCGCCATTTGGGGGGTTCCTGGTGGAATTTTTTGATGACATTTTTTTAGCATCTTATTCATTAAATCTAGTTTACTCATACCAAATTTCAGTTAAAAATTCAATCGTGAATACATTCAAATGAATTCTTGAAGATAACTGAACAGTTAAAAGCGCAGTTTTCTTCAAGAATTCATTTGAATGCATTCCCGATTGAATTGTTAGCTGAAATTTGGTATGAGTAAACTAGACTTAATGAATAAGATGCTCAAAAAATTTCATCAAAAAAATTCATCGGGAACCGCCCCAAATGGCGACGGCTGGACAGGACCTCCTATATAAGAGCTTATTTGACCTTTTTATTTAAGTTCGGTGACCTATTTGACCATTTTCCCTTGTTTTTTTTATTACCAATTTCACACTTTTTTCGTTATGAATTATTGGCTCATTCGTTTCAAAAATTACATCTCAGACGTTTCATCAAAAGCTAATTACAAAGGAATAATGTGATTATGAGCCCGTTTGGAGAACTCTGTTTTCGGCTTATCAGGCTTATCAGCCAGCTTTTTCACCAAACACGTAACTTTTACTTTCGCGCGCTGAATTGTGTAATAAGCCGAAAAAGTAAGGTTGGAGTTACTTTTCTGGCTGTATTGGCTGAAGTTACTGTAGATGACCATTTTAGCTATTTTTACATATAATTTTTTCTTTAATTTATTAATAAAATATATTTTTAAAATATTTTTTTCTTAAATCAGCAGAATCAGCCAAAACAGCCACTCCAGCCAGAATATCATAAATTTCAGCAGAATCAGCCAAAACAGCCGATTTTGGTGCTACCAAACGGGCTCTATATCCCACCCAATCGTCATGAACACTTTTCCACGTAAGCAAAATACTCCCTCCCTATTTCAATGTTCTCTACAATAGGTTTGGGCACAAGTTTTAAGGGTAAAATAGGTTTGGGCACAAGTTTTAAGGGTAAAATAGTAGGGGTAATGAATAGTGTAGAAAAAGTAGGAGAGAAGATGGAAAAGTATGAAAGAGAAGATACAAAGTAAAAAAAGTAAAGGTAATTGAGTATTTTTAAAGGAAAAACTTGACAAAAAGGGAAAGTGTAGAAAACTTTTAAATACATCCAAAAAAGAAATTGTAGGAAATTTTAAAATACGGAGGGAGTATAAAAAAGAACGTAGTTTACTTAAAAAAAACACTAAATCATAGCAAAATAGGAAACTACGAGTAACACACACTTGTCGCCCCTTTTCCTGCTTAAAATATGGGAAATAATGTGTTAAGTGTTAACATACTCTAGCCTCTAGTCATGAATTGTTCTTCAATCTCCAGTCCACAACCTTGGGAGGCCATAATGTTTTCATGATATTGGCTGGCTGGCCGCCATTGAGTTGAGGTAGCAACCAGCATTTCCCCCATGTGTTATGGGGGCTATTGCCCTCTTTTCAACCACATAGTAGTGTAGTATCTCTTCTGCTCTTCATCTTCATGAAGATGGAAGATGATAAGTGACAGGATTTTCCTAAAAGACTACTAAAGCAAAAAAGAAAAAGAAAATGGTCACATAGATCATCGAACTTACATAAAAAGATCAAACAAACCCTTATATACTATATAGGAGGCCCTTTCCGGAATTCCGGCCGTCAATATTTGGGGCAGTTTTCTGTGAAAATTTTTGATGAAAATTTTTGAACATCTTATTTATTAAGTCTAGTTTACTCATACAAAATTTCAGCTAGCAATTCAATCAATAAGGCATTGAAATAAATTCTTAAAGATAACTGCACTTTTAATCTAAAAAATAAACAAATATTGTAGACCCCCTATTGACTTTAGACAACTTTAAAAAAATTACGGCGTGAAATTTTCTTTACAATTTCAAATGTTAAGCCATTCCTTCCGCTGAGAAAGAGTAAAAAGAAACCCCCAGAGTCTTCTTCATCCAAGAAGAAAAGAACAGAAATGTGAAAAAAAGCAAGAAAATACATAAAGAAAGAACCCAACTCATCTCATATGCACGTATAAAAAATATGAGCAGATTGTAGCCTTAGGTGCGGGAAAATTAGGTGGCAAGAAACTTGACCCTTCTCCTCCACCAAAACCTAATAAAACTTGAGAAATGTAAATACAATGGAAATTAAGGAGAGGAGATACTCCAAAGTGCTGTCCATTCTCCTAATATGGGCAAAATCTATACAAATTTTTCTCTAGCTTTATAACAATAAACCAGCATCTTCTATCATCTTTACCTCTCTGATCATCATATTATCCCTGCACAATTTGTTGTTGCCCTGGACCTCCTCCATGGAGAAGCACTATTGAACAATGATGATGAACCATGTACCACCTCCCCTTGTGGAATTCAAACATGTTAGTCACATGAAATGGCCTTGCATCTTGTTGAAGATATGCTTTCATGGTGACCCAAGCAGAATCCGAAAGTACCCTGGCCCTCACATCCCGAATCTGGAAATCCGTGCTTTCGTCCCAGCTAAAAGCTAGCTGCCAGCTTTCCATTACTGCACTGTAACTGTATAATAACCAGAAATCAGAATGTATACACCATGAAAATGTGAAGATTCTAACATCATTTTCATTTACCCCAGTGCCGCAAAGTCTCTCTGTACTAAAGCACAGAGAGACTGTTTCCGGATGACCCATAGTGAAAATCGCATCCAAAATTGCATGGACTGACTGCTGCTTCATAACAAAGAAGCGCAGACAGTTTAGTGAGCCATTATGCTTTATTCCATCATATTCTCAAGCCAAAAAATAATGAATCTTTGGCTCCATTGCAAATGATGGAAATAATGTGAAGATTCTAACATCAATCCAAAAATCTATGGACACTCTTCATATACTTTTTACTTAGGAGACAACCGAGTGTCTGTTCCTTGATAAGTGATATTACATCAAAAGCATTCCACAGCAGTAAGATTTCAATTGACATTTTGATGAATATATGAGCTATATTGTCCCATTTAGTTCCCAAATCAGTAGTTTCTTTAACCTCATTACATCATCACACTCATCATGCAAGTCAGATTCAAACACTAAAAGTTCAAAGAGCAAATAAAAGAAAGAACTAAACTCATCATGTGCAAATGTGCTCATGTGAGATGGTCTCAAGCTCTTAATAAGCTAGAAATTGTACTTCATTTTTACATTAATTTTTTACAATTGAGAAAACTGTCAAATAGGTCCTCGAACTTTCATAAAAAAGTCAATTAAGTCCTTCTATAGAAGACTTTGTCCGGTCGTCGCGATTTGGGGCGGTTCCCGTTGGATTTTTTTGATGAAATTTTTTGAGCATCTTATTCATCAAGCCTAGTTTATTCATACCAAATTTTAGCTAAAACTTTAATCGGGAGCGCATTCAAATTAATTCGAGAACGCAAAAATGCGCAGTTATCTTCAAGAATTAATTTGAATGTGTTCCCGATTGAATTTTTAGCTGAAATTTGGTATGAGTAAACTAGACTTGATGAATAAGATGCTCAAAAAATTTCATCAAAAAATTCCACCGGGAACTTCCCCAAATCGCGACGGCCGGACAAAACCTCCTATAGAAGGACTTAATTGACCTTTTTATGAAAGTTCGAGGACCTATTTGACAGTTTTCCCTTTACAATTCTATGCTTATAATTTGCTAATTGAGAGGTTTGAGTCTTACTTTTGTCTTAATATTGATTTTCAAAGGTGAGTAATTTCATTGGAGTATTTGAGGATTATTTAGGCTCGTTGGAGAGATTTTATTTCCAAATTCCATAAGGCGCCATTTAAAGATTGATACTACAATTAAAATTTGGAAATCTTCGCTTTTAAGAAAAAAAAAAAACTCGGTTGGAGAACCAAATTGAAGGATCAGTACTCTTTGATTTTGACGGAGAATAAAACAAAAAAGAAAACCAGTAAAGTTCAAATCAAATGAGGGACTATTTAAAAAAAAAAAAGAGGGTCTTGCACCTGATTGAACTCAAGAAGCACTCTCAAATCAAACGGCACCCGACAATGCGGAGGGATTTCGAATCAGGAAGCACAAAAAAAAAAACAGGAAATTAACGTTTCTAGCGGCAAACTGTTACGGACCTAGCCCATAACCCTAGGTGTATTACTCACTCCCAAAAGAATAGCCAATAGGAGGAGGGGACACCTAGCTTATAAGCCACCGATCAATCCCATACTTGATCGGTGTGGGGTCATTACAATACCCCACACTTCGAAGAGCCAACTTCCTCATTGGTCACGACTATGTTGGTCAAGGTTGGCACCCCTCAGAGCCCCAGCCACCACTCCATAGGCCACCACTCCGAGTGTTAGGACAGGGAAGATGAGGATGGCTTGGGCCCTAGGGGTGCCAACCGTGACCAACATAGCCGTGACCAACGAGGACATTGGGTCTTCGAAGCATGGGGTATTGTAATGATCTCATCCTGATCAAGAATGGGATTGACCAGTGGCTTATAAGCTAAGTGTCCGCTCCTCCTATCGGCTAGTCTTTGGGGATTGAGTTCTACACTTGGACTTATGACCTTGGTATGAGCCTAGCATGTATGGGCTAGGTCCGTAACACAAACTGATTAAAACCGCTGTAATCCTTTACTATAAAAACGCAGCAGTGGGTTTTCAGAGATATTCTGGTTGGGAATTTCGAAGGTTTAAGAGCCTGGGCAGTTGGAAGCTGCTGAATCGCTCATGGCAGTCCGAAGGAGGAAGGGTGGAGGCTTAGCTTGGCTGCCCAGCATACGGTCTCTAGGAAATTGATTGGGATAGAAGAAGAGGAAAGGGGGACAACGTTTTGGGGGCGGAGAGCCGCATAACTCCGTAGAATAGCAGCAGCAACCCTTGCAGAATATTTTCTCTACTTTAGGGTATATTTTAATCTATTGTTAAGAAATCTTTGTTTAATTGCTTCTAGCAGTTTTGAACTTGGTAATTTAGTAGCTTGTTTTCTTCATCAATTAGATAATAATCTGATGTTCCCAATATTAGCCTTCTGGATGATTAAAATGGTTGAAATTGTTTCCACCATGCTTATTGTTTTAATCAATAAATTTATTGTTATGAGTAGCTAAATTCTTAAGTGCAGGAGTATGATGAAGTTTCTATGATTTAGTATGATATGGTGATTTTAGTAATGTTAATTAATTGGGTATTATCTGTTGTTCTAATTCACTTAATTCGTTATGTTAATTTTTGGCCAACTTTAGCATGACTATTAATTCAAGCTCTTTTGGATAAAAGTATATACTCCATATAGTTTAACTGTCTTGTGGTTGTCTATTTGGTGCTCAAGCTGGATTTCCTTAGTTCTTTTGTGCTTAAAGGATTTTAATTACTGAATTAATAAATTTTTGTATTGATTAATAGTTAACATACATGACTTATTCTGGACTCCATAGAGAATAGTCATATTTTTTCCTAGAACGAACCCATAATGGTTGAAAATTTTCTTGCTAAATTTCCAACCAAACTTCTTTTATTTGTTTATTCACTTTATTTCTACTCCTTTAGATTCCCTGCGTTCATTTCAGTTCAAGCTTTACTTTTTCAAATTTAAATGAAAACATGCTCGTATCTCTATTATAGTTAGATTGATCTTATTCTTTCTTTTTACTTCAATATTTACCAATTGCATAGTTACATTTTTCCCATGGTTTCAACCCTTACTTGATCATTATACTAACATAACTCGTTCATGTGCGAGTAGGGCTGAATTCGGTCTGGGCCCCGACCCAATTCAACATTACTACAAACCAACCGATATATCGGTTTGCCAAATATCAACAACCAAGACCGAACCGGTCTTTGAATGGGTACCAATTTTAGGTACCCGATTATTCGGTTCGGTTCACCTTAAACCGAATGAAACCGGTTTTAAATTTAAACAAATAAATTTGAACTACTATTCATAGATTTTAGCCCAATAAGACGCCAATAATTGAGTCGAATGAGCCCAAAGGTAGCTTGGCAGGTAAACTAGCCGGCTACATTAACAATGGGGAGCAGATCCGCATTATATAGAAATATTTTGGGGCAGATAGCTTGTCTTCGTCCGGTGTGGGATAAAATAGTATAGCAAAGAAGATTTAAAAATCTGAAACAAAAACTACGCCGATGGGAATCGACCCTTCGAAGCCTTGGCTAGGAAAGGCGCTTAATAACCAACTCCGTTACGCTCCAGATACGCTCATTTTATACTAGATACTGTATTATACCTTTATAATAATGGCATAAATTATTATTATTACTAAAAACAATTATTATTATTAATATTAAAATGCCGGTTCGGTTCGGTTTAAACTGATATTTTTTGTATACAAACCGAATCTGAACCAATTTTTTTGGGTCCCGGTTTTGGGTCCCAATTACTATGGGTTCAGTTCGGTTTTTTCCAAAATGGCTCGGTTATTTTTTGTTCGGTTTTCGGTTTTTCGGTCTCAAATGCCAGCCCTACTTGCAAGGACTATTAGCTCTCACTTTGATAGGAGACCAAAAAGTAATAATTTAAGGTTGAGAAACAATCATATCCAAAAAGTAGTTTCTAAAGAATTTTACTTTCAACTCTTTAAAGTATTTCTTTTTGGCGCCGCCTCGTAGTGACTAGTGAGACTGTCTCACAA